GATTAGCCTAGCAACAAGATTTTATTGTTGAACATATTTTGTACAAAGAAGAAATAATTTTATCTTCATGGTAATTTGCCTTGCTTATTATCAAAAGCTTTCAGTCATGCTCAGTTGTGAAACAATTTCTCTCAGTTTCCAACTTTTTTCTCAGTAATCATTTTACTTTTAGGCAGCTAAACCAAATGCAGAGGAGTTTTTTCTTTTTGACACGATATAAAAGTTTTACAAATTCACCTTTGATACATTTAGTTGCACACCAATAGATGTATCCATATCGTTTTTATTTTTATTTTTAGAAAAGCAATTGCAGCAGTGAAGCAAAATGGAAGGAAAAGAAGGCAATAAAATCATTGAAGAGTGAATGAAGTACAGGTACATAGTACATACATTAAGCATGTACAAGTATTCTATTTGAAGCATGAAATATAACATGTTAATTGGTGTAATAAAAGTAATGATGATTGTTTAGAGACACTGTGTATAAGGTGCATACATGTATATTATGTATCTATTTTGTAATTAATTGTAATGAAAAGCATATTGATAGGTGCTTTAGACAAAATATAAGTGGCTAAAAAAGATGTGGATCAATAATACTAGGTATAGTGTTATGATTACTTCAAATGGTATCGTCACAATTAATCACACAAATCATTTAGCTTTAATATCACTGACAAACAAAATAGATGAAGCTGCATTGAATGAGCATGTCCCTCAACTATAGAACTTCACACTAAAAAGAACAATGAGCCCCAAGGTAATAAGGTACATTTAATTTTGTTTATTTATCCTAAATCAGATTTAGATGAAATGCTGACTACATTACATTAGAAAGTAATCCTCATTTTCAAAGTAAATTAATTTGCTCACAAAAATTATTCAATTAAATCAAATATGCATAATATAGAAGATTCTGAGCAACAAGGATCTTTTATTCCCAAGTGATGTCATTATTTTGGTTTAAATTATTTATTAATTTTAGTACATTCATATTTCTTTGAATACAGTACATTTGATGGATATAGAAAGTGATATCCTTGAAAGACCTATTTTCATGTTAATATAAAAATGTGGCCAGAAGAAATTAAGGTATATTTTTAAAGTACTGAAAATATTTTTTTTTAATTTGTAGACATTGATTCTACTGATCATGGAAAAGTATTTTACAAAGAGACTCTCCATTGTTTTCAATCAAAAATTGCCTTATTTTTAAGGCTCATCATGGCATGATTGTAATTCATCACTCAAAGTGATAATTTTAAACAATGATTAGAGCTGTAAAATTATAACTAACATCTGTACAGTATAAATAATGAAATAAGCCATAAATCTTTGGAACTGATCGGCAGAGTAAGACTAAAATCTATGTTTTAATGTGCATCACATCTCCGGAGGACTCATCCGAGTTCCATCACCGTTTTTTGGCGCTCATCTCCTGCTCCGGACTCCATCGTCTCCGGCTCCGGTTTTCAGCAATCATCTCCGGGTCGTCTCCGGCTCCGGTTTTTAGCACTCATCTCCGGTTCTGGCTCTGGT